TTTTTTTTAAGCAAATAACAAAAGCTTAGCAATCTGCTATAAAATAAAGAAATGCAGAAAAAAATCGCAGGTGTAGCTGCCTTGTAGTTCTATTACCACATACTATTTATTTTATTATCGCATTTCTTTGTTGATTTTTTTTGTTGTTGGTTTATTTTTATGTGCACTTGGATTTATTGGCGTCACTGGCGATATTGTTAAAGTTCGTGTTGGCGGCGCATTTAATGCTTTTGTCGGTGCTTGCTGACTGTTTGAATACTATTAGAGTGTTGTTTGTTGCTTTGACTGATTGCGGAATTATTTGTTTATATGCAGTCGAACAAATATTTATTAATTTATAAAAAGCGCAGCACAATTAAAGTTAAAATGGTAACAAAAATTAATGTAAAAACAAACATAGGTAAACAATGGTCATTACGGATGTCATTTCCTTGCGTTACGACGCTGGCAAGTGACTGCTTTTAATTGATAAACCATTATGTATTACCTACCTATAATTGCTTTTATAGTTGAATGTGCATATATGGTATATGGTAACCAAGAGGTTGGAATCTTAAATCGAAACTGTAATAAGAGGCATACATCTAGCTTGTTTGCCACTAGTTTTAATATAAAAAAACATGTTTGCTTTTATTTCTATTATTTGATGTTGGTCGGAAACAGTGACATTTGGTTTGGTGCGGATTTTGGAGCGGTATGTTAACAGAATGCGCTACTGCGAAGCTAGCAGTAAATTTTTCTTAATTTTTTTTTTTTTATTCTTAAGCTTCAAAATTTTAGTTAAAATTTGACTAACAGCCATCGGACAACAGGCCGTTTTAATAAAACTGCCCATAAACGAAGAAATTGAAATGGAATCGCTAACAACAGACATTTCGGCACTAATATGCCCCTTTATTTGCCTATTCAGCTAGTTGATCCATTTTCAAAGTGTGCACGTGTGTTCCCATCAGCTGTGCGGTGTTCGTAATTTTTACTGTTTCTGCTGCTTCTAGCTGCTGACGAACTTTATTGCTGACAACAATTACCATACCATGTCAGCAGCAATTCAACTAGCTAACCAATTACTCATTCAGTCAGCCAGTCAGCTGCCAGCCAGAGTTATTCAACTGGTTATACAGACGCTTGATGTTTTCCTTACATTTCGCCCTGATCAGTATTGACTTAATTTAGACATTTGGCTTACAGCCACAAGCTAAATAGCCGAGTATAAAAGGCGCATAAATTGCATGTCTGCCATACTGTAGTGTAACTCGTTTCGTCACTATATTATAGTATAATGCATATAAAGATACCATGTCTTTAGAATTCGCAATGGCTATGAAATGTCAATATATTCAACAACTTTTCGTTGCTATTGCGCTTGCTTTATGTTGTTGCTTTTTTACGTTTTTCTGCTTTGTTGTCGTTTGGTAGCAGCTTTATTCTCGATTTCATTTCAATTAAATTTGTGTGTAGAATAAGCTGTTATACCTTTATTATTTGTTTACGTTATTTGATACCTCTGCTCATATAATTTACTATTATTCAGCACAGTGAGGTAGTTTTCTTTTGCTATTATGTTATGTTATGTAGTTAGCTTTATTCAGCTTCATTCTGCGCTAATTAGCTGTATCTATACTCGACTAGAGTCAACTTGTAAGAACTTTTAAGCAAAAAAATGTATGCTTGATATATATATATTTTTTTTTGAATTTCAAGTAAAATATTTTTTAGATTTTGATAAAGTTTCTTATTTAACTTTATTCATTATGCCGCTAAAATCGATTTGATCCAGCATATTTCATATTTTAAGCAAAAAATGTATGCTTAATGTATTTTTTCTGAATTTTACGAAAATTTTTTTTTTTTTTGGGGGTTATAGTTATTGCTATAATCTTGATAAGGCTTAATACAGTTTCACTCGGTGGAAAGTGAATTTTTAAACAAAACAAATGTATGCTTATTGTATTTTTTCTCAATTTTAGTGTAGTTTTTTACCAATGATATTAATTCTTTGCTACTTTACGAAAATTTTCTTATACAATTTTTTGTTTGCTATTAAATAATTACACTTTTATTTTCATAACCTTTTGCATTCTTCTTTCATAGCTTAACTATTTTAAAACTGAATCGAAATTTTTGTACTTACTTTTTCTAACTCTAAAAGGTGAAACCGAAGTACTTGTATTGCTTGCACCATCTGAAATTTAAAAAAGTACAGTATTAATTAAAAAAACTAGCTTGAAATTCCCTGAAATATCTTACAAAAGTAGTCAAAAGTATACATATCCAAGGTTTTCTTTTCTTCAGCTGCATTAAAGTTCACCTTGACTGCAAAGCTTTATTTTCTATTTATGCAAATTTTTGTATAGTTTATTTTCCTTTTTAAAGCAAGTCTTTTTCCCCTAATTGCAGTTTGCTTATTTCGCCGACGAAAGTTTGGACCATAAGCCTTAATATGGACGGCGATAAATAAAGTTTTACGCATCATTTAAACGCACCTTAATTAGTTACTGGCTTGGTCGAAAAACGAAAAACTTAAAGCACAAACTTGCCTTTGCCAGTGACACGCATACATACACACAAAAGTTTCAAGATAAAACTTAAAGAGCGCTTTCAATCCAAGTGCTGTCGCCGTGGGTAGCGTGGTCGCCTTGATCTTGCATGCATATTATTATTGTTGTTGTTGCTGAGGCTTATACATATAATTTCCATGTTGGCAGTTCGGAGCTTTTTATAAAGAAATCAGACGTTTTTAAAACGCTTAGGGTTCGCAGTTTTTCTTTTCTTGTATTTTTTAGACTTCGCCAGCCATGCACTGTGCCAGTTCATTTTTGTATATTCAGACTTCATTTCATCTTTCGTTTGTTGTTGTTGCTTTTTGGCTGCTTTGTTCACATTTAAGCTTGAAGTTTTAGTCACTTTTAATCGCATTAAAAACGATTTGGAATTTCAGGCTAATGATGATGAGCAATACATATGAATGCACAGAAAAAGAGTTGAAATAAAAAAGTGCAGCAAAAAAACAAGCAAGCGCAAAATGCTTGCAAACTTTCCACAACCTTAATCGCAGCAGGCGGCAACAGTGTCAGTGAGGTGAGTTAATAAACAAAAAAAAAAAAGAAGCTGCATTTAAAACATCGCTTGCGCCCCCCCTCCACTTTCAGACACCTCATCCGCTAAAATGGGAGGCAATAAAAAATTGCACTGTCAAAATTCACTGCCTACAACACTTAGCCATGCCACACAAGTAATGCGCGAACGTTGAAAAAATAAATCCTGCGCTTGGCTGGATGCCTCGTTACAGCCTCACCTAATTAAACTGTCAACTTGACATTTGACATTTTTACGATGCTTTGCAGCCAGCAAAAAAAGCAACAAGAGCAACAACAACAACAAAAAATAAACACATGAAGCCACAAAGCGGAAACTTGAAAACTTGACTATTAAAAAGTTTCACTCCTTACTTAAAGACGGACTGACAGAGAACACAAGTCTACCAAGCAACACGACAATGAGCGAAAAAATCAATTGGCAACAAAAACAGCAACAAAAGTGTCTACTTACAACAAGGCTTGGCAGCATACGTACATACATACATACATATGTATATTGACAAGTTCAACTGCAACATATTGCAATTTTCTCGCCATACAAACCATAACAACATAATCACGGTACATTGCTACAGGCTCCACTACACTACACTGCGCTGCACCGTGCCACGCCGCGCCCGCTTTGTTATGGCAAACTAGCGCTAACTGACTATGTCCAAAACAGCTAGCAACAAGTACAAAAACAACAAGTGCATTTAATGCCAATGGAGCAAATATCCAATGAAAATAAAATCGCTTTTATGGCCTAGCGTTACCGCTGCCGCCGCCACCGCCACCGCCGCCACCACATTCAGGCCGTAGTTAGCAGTTGCACCGCTAGTAGAGTACTTAAAAATACAAACGTTAAGTATGTGTTACTAAATGCACATTTAAATGTTTATTCAACATTTTGCGCGCGCGCACTCGCACTCGCACTCGCACACTCTCGTACAGGTCCATGTGTAATTGCTGGCCCAGCCGCACACTCCAACTGGGCGGACGAGAGCGATCCACGTCATTGCATGGTGTATCCGTTTAGTGAGCGTTGCAATGAAAGCGAAGCGCAATTCATAGTAGCGCATGGCAGCATGGCTTGGAAGCGAGGCGAAATGATTTATGGCGCAAGTACGCAGGCGCACTGTCAAACTGACAGTTGGAACAAAACACTACAACGCCATAAAATGACGCGACGCGCCACTGTTATCATCGTCGCGTCGTAAGCAATAGTGGAACGATGCAATATTCTTGGTACTTATGCATTGGTACCGACTTTTGCTCGTGGGCTCATAAGCCCTCAGTATGAATTGAATTGCATAGGAACAGAATTTTCCAAACCAAGAAAAAAAAAACAAATTTTGGCTTAAGGGTGCATAAGCGGCATGGACTGCGGTAGTGATAAAAATGAGTGCATTTGAAGCGTCGCCCGCAGCGCGACAAAATGCTAATAAAATGACGGCTTACAATATGCAATCGTTTGTGAGCGAGCGAAATAGCATAGCCTGAGCTTATTGATGAGCAAACTTAGAACTCTGTATATTGTAGATACATATGTCAGTACTTATACATATATGTGGCATAACTTTTGTCAAAGGAAATGGAAGATTTAATGCTAGTTTAACTTAGTCGGAATCTCTTCAACATATTTTTTTAATGTTCAGTTTAATTTAGCTGCGATATAAAATGAAAATATGCCTCATAACCAAAAACAAGTCATTCATAAGGCAATTTTTGTTAAATTCAGCTCTATTCAGTTCAGTTTCAAAGTGCCCAGGGGATGGTAGTTTTTATTTTAAAACGAAAAGGTGGCTAAATTCAGCCGGAAAGCATTAAACATATGTTTGATTACTCAGCCGAATTCAGCTGAGATCTAGATATTGAATTACAACTCCAAACTGAATCTCACACATTCATTGAAACATTTGGTTTTAATTCAGCTCTTTTCAGCACCGTTTGAATGTACGAAGTGAATAAGAACTTTTATTTAACGAGGGTAAGGTGGATAAGCGTAGTGGGAATGCCTTAATCACATTTCTTGAACATTCAGCTGAGACCTACACATGAAACAATGTCTCATTACAAACTATGGGACCTTCATAGGTTAATTTTCGTTTGATTCAGTTCTAGACAGTTCTGTTTTGAAACCAAATAATTATATTTCAAACGCTGTTGCTATAAACCGCGTTATTTCATTATTTTTCAAATATGTACTTATATCAGTCATTGCTTCTGGAAATTTCCTTTTAATTCAGCTCATTTTTGAAACCAACACCCCTATTCTGCAACTCTTTCGTATTCGGATTTTGCTACGAATCGTAGAAAAATCGTATTCTGCAATCCGAATAGTATTTTCGAATTTTCGAAACTCGTAACAATGACATGTCTAAAAACGAACGAGTAAGCTTTTTTCCGTAATTTTGTACGAAAATAATTCTGTGTCGGAGGCGAGATAAAAGGTGTAAATCGATGTGTATTTACAGGAAATGCATATTAGTGTTGTTCATTTAAATAAATAAATAGCAAAAGAGAATTTACAGTACGGTTTAATTATTTGTACAATGATTTTCGGTTGTTGTATCCAAACGCATAACCCGAATCCAAAAACTTTAACATACACGTGTAACCTAAGGATTTAACTTTTATTTAAAGTAAATTTTTCAAGTTTCCGACCACTAGCTTATTAATAAAGTCGGTTTGCACTATGCACTTTTTTGCAAATTTCGATGTGAGTTCTGCGCAAAAATACTGTGGATGGCGTAGCCGGAGTGATATGCACAAGAAATGTTGTATAACTTTGACATGCGGAAGTCCCTCTTCTCCGGCAATACAGAAAGGAGAATTCTACTTAGTAAGGGTTATAATCCCTAGGCGCGGCCGAAGGCATAATCCAGCGCAACAGGTGGTGCACCTAACAAAGTGCGGGTTTTTAATGGCTTGGAAGAAGCTTTTATTGCATTAACTGGATTGGGAACCAGTTTTTTAGGCATAGGAGGAGTTCTGGCTTGTGGTTCAACAATTCAACCAGAAGCTGACATAGATACGCCCATGGTTACTATGCCCGACAGCTCCGCATATCTTTGTGAAATCATTCCTCTATCTATCGTTTCCTTCAAAATATGTAAAATCAAACAATTTTACTATAAATAAGCAGCTGTTTTCCTTCATTCAGCTGCCTTCGAAAAACTGACAGCTGGCAATGCTACCCACGTTTTCCCAAGGGTTGCAGCATGTGGATTTTTCGTTTTTCGCAACATAGATACGAATTACGAAAATTCGGGTTCTAGAATAAGGGAGCAAATTATTTTGTTTCGGAATTTATTTGTAAAAACCGCGCCTTTGCAGAATTTTTGTTTAGCTCAGCTCTATTCACCTTAGTTTCAAAAACAAAGGATAGGATTTCTGTAAACGTTTCTGTAAATCGCGTATTTTATCTGTATTCAATTTTGGTTCAGTTCAGTTTAGAAACCAAAACTTATTATCTATTTAAAGTATCATTCCTCAAAAACACAACCCATTGTTTTATTTAATAGAATGAATGCCTACATTTCTAATGTGTGTAAATAAAATTGCATGCCAAGGCTATTGCACACTCTAATGTGCAAGTTTTGTATGCAACACACAGCGCACGTTGTAAGCGCTTGACTAATGATGATTCCAACACTATATAAAAGCACTTTAAGTGCGATTAAAGTGTCACTTTAAACCGAATGGCATTATTGGTATGCGCAATTTGCTTTCACCGCAATGCATTGCGCTGATTGGTAATTGCATCGTGACAATGAAATTAGCATAAATGCATTTGTGATATGCTCCAAGGGTTTCTCCCAGAGGTAATAATAATAGCTTGTAGTATGTGAAAAAATAATACGAGACATTTATTCAGCGCGTATTAGCTTATTCAGCAGATTCATTTAAGTTCAAATGTAAAATGAAAGTGCATTTTCTAGGTTATTCAGCGCTCTTTGCGCTTTTTCAGCTCAATTCAGCGCATACTTTTGATTTAAAACCAACCGGTTTGTCTAATATTTAAATTTACTTTTATTCAGCGCAATTCAGCTGAACTTTTTAATGCATTTTTAATGCCTGAAATGATTTAAAAGACTTTAAAATTTGGTATTTGCCTCGGCAAGGCCCCACGTTCCGGAGTGGAGTGGAGTGCTGAACAAATTTTTTCTCCGCTGTTTTTGTGTCAGTTAGCGCGAAAATGTCGTATGGCTCATTTAAATGCTACGCGCCATATTCGCTTACACCCAGTGTGTCAGCAAAGAGTCGTTGGAAGTGTGTGTTTTTTTTTAGTGCCTCAAATCACATATTGAGCTTGTTGGAAACTTATACAGATACATAAATATACAAAGAAGCATGCAGCTTAAAACTGTGGCATGCCACTTAAGCAGCTCGTGGTATTAAAAGATGCCAAATGCAGCAGAAGCTGTGGTGTAGTGAATTTTTACGATTAAATTTTACTATAGTCGGCGTGACGAGCCTGTTGCTGTCATTCGATGCTGGTGGTGAAGCTGCTGGTGAGCGTTGGCGCGCTGTGGCATATTGGCATGTTGCTGGGATTTTACATGCATTAATAAAATAAAAATGCTCAAAATTGTACAGTGCAAATGTTTATTGTTGGACTTGTAGTGATTACTGTAGATTTTGTTGTTCTTGTAGTTGTTGTTGTTGTGGCAACATTGACAGCCTTCAGCGCGCTGACATATGCCGAGCAACAAGTTAACCGCGCACACCATTCAACCAGCATCATCAGCCAGCTCCGGCACCACCACCACCCCAGCATGCATAGCCACCACTGAGCTCAGCTGTGCTCAGCAGTCAAGCGCTCGACAATAAAATAAGTTAACAACTCAGTTATTGAAGGAATGACTGTTTTTAACATCTTTTTTCCCATGCGCATTTTATTTCGAAAAAGTTTATTGCTACTTTTTATTTATTTATTTTATTTTTTGCCACTGCAACCGAGCGCGCATGTGGGCTGCGCGGACATATAGAGAACTAAGTTCCAGCCTCCAGCCGACACAGTCGTGCATTTGTATCTAGATACATGTGGACTGGTTGCATTGTTTGTGGTCAGCAATGCCACTTCACTATAAGCTATCAAACTGATTTCGTAAAGTTTGTGTGTGTGTGTGTGTGTGTGTGTGTGTGTGGACGTCTGCTGTTTTACCCCACCCTGTCTGAGACGGGCTTGCTCGTCACTTTGTATTTGTTTATGTATGGCACGGCTTTGACATGCCGGATCACAGCCACTTGAGATTAAGAATGATAATTTTGTGTCGCTTTGTATACTTATACATATCCATACATACAAGTATGTATGTACATATGTTTCGCAGTAGTGTAAATTTTTATTTAAAAGCGAATGTAGTAAAAAATATACAGAAAGAAGAAAAAAGTAGGTACATGGCAAATTTGCAACAACGACATTGAACTTGCTGGACGACAAGTGCGCATGCGCTGGGCAGTAGCTTAGGCTGATGTTGCTGTGTTGCTGTGTTGCTGTTGCTGACGTTATTGCCTTAGTTGGCGCTGCCTGCGGTAAATTGTGACAAATTTATTTAAACAGCAAATAAAAATGTTAACGAGCTACAGTCACAGCAGCAGCGGCGACAACTGCCGCTCATCTAATTGAATTGAATTGAAAAAATTATACGTTCACATATACAAATATACATATGTACATGCATAAAGTACACACTGTATGCAATGGACGTTATGTGCGTCTTGCTTTAAATGTTTGTTTGTTTACTTGATTGTTGTAGAAAACTGTTTTTATTGTATGCATTTTTTAATAGCTTTTATTTTGGTATTTTGAATTTTGCATTTTATTTTGAGGTCAAGGTGAACTTGTTGTGCCGCTATTACGGTTGTATGCAACATGCATTTATTGCTACAACTCAAGTATGTTGCAAGCATATTTTATTAACCTATTTATGGACCGTTGTTTACTAAGCGACATACATACGCTTGTGTAATAAAAGTGTGCAGGTTTGTGTTACTGTGGGACTTACCAGTGAGTCGACTTCGGGATCCGCTGTGTAGTAGGGTTTCTGTGATCGTATCTGCAATGAGACAAAAATGCATAAGAATTTAAATAATTTTCCATGTTTGCAACAAAAAAAAAATATTTTTCTTAATTACTGAATTTTATTATTTTATATAACAGATACTTAAATAACTCTTTGAAAATGTCCTAAACGCTTTGTTTTAATGCAAATGTTTGCGCGACATTTGTCCCCACCCTTACAAAAGTGCCAAATACTTAAATACCATTCAGCGTCTTAAAAAGTTCGTTTTTCTTTTTATTTCAAAATATCTCGTAGTAAAATTTTAAACTGAGCTTTAAATATGTTACAACAAATATTCAGCACAATTTAGCGCTCGAAAACTGCAATTCAGCCCACTAGTTTTTATGAAATATCACTAGACCATGTACTTAACGCAATTAAGCCCCTTTAAATATACATACATATCTGGACAGAATTCAGCGGCTTTATTAAACGAAATTCACTTTCAAAAGTTTAATGGCTTTAGAATTCAAAACCAACAACTCAGTCGTTTAGTTGCCTTTATTGGCAAGGTCCAAATAGTATATATCACTATTCAGCTCTATTCAGCAATCGTATTTAATAGTTCTACCAACTATTTTTTTTCTAAACTATAATCGAAGAATAAGCACTAATACCGTTTACGCTTTGTAGTGCTTATACAGTGCACATAAAATTCAAATATATAATCAAAACTATGGGAACTGAAATACTTTTCGGATCAGCCCTCCATATTGCACGAATTGAGCTCCCGGTAAAATTTTTAAGGTGCTCAGCAGTTTTCAAACTGTCAACACGCAATTCAGCTTCTAAAACTTTTAGCTGAATAAGCAGCTGATAAGCCTGAAAAGTCGTAAGCACCTGAAAAACTTAGATTAGATCTTCACACTAAGCCTTTTTCGGGGTTATGGCTTTCAGCGCTCACGCCGTTGCTGAATAAAGTGCTGAAAGCCTGAAAAACTTAGTGCGAAGTTCTATTCTAACTTCTAGCACACACGCTTACAAAATCAATAGCTCTAGACAATTTGAAAAACATATGTTGCTTTGCCCTTTCATAAGTTGCATAGGCTCAACTCTCAACTACATAGGTGGTATTTTATCAATTTATTGCCTTAATGATTTTTATCTATGTATACCTATTTTATGCTCTGCACGTTTTTATGCCCGGTTTGTTTATGTTTTGACTTGTAAGCGCATTCGCGCCACCACACTTGGTAATAAAAATTAATATTACCGAAAACTAGCAATAAACTGACGCATTGCAAAATGTTCAGTGCTACATAGTACTTGTACAAGAAATGTGCATTTGCTGGTGTGTCTACACTCAGAGCCGCCTGCTTCTAGGCTATCTACCGTCTGTGTGCATGCGGAGCAATTCGCATATTTATTGCAGCAAGTGTTACCACCAATTCGAATGCCAGCGCAACAACACTCACTCCAGATATTCGTTGCTCACAAATGACGTTTTTCCCGCGCCAAAGGCGACGGCGACAGCCAAGGCACGGCTTATCTCGTCAACGGTTCCAATTTCATTCCTCTATTATGTACACATACATATGTATGTATGTATGTAGATATACATATGTTTTGTTGCTATGTTTTTCTTGTTTTTGTTACTTAATTTTATCTATTTTTTATTTAGTATCGCATTTTTTGTTTGGTTTTGTCTTTTTGGCAGTTGAACTGTGGGGGTTTCTATTGAAAATCACAGGCATAGCTTGTCTAGAAGCGCATGCTTGAATAAATGTACATACATATGTGTTTGTAGTAGCATATGTATGTATGTATTTTCTTCAGTAAGCCCATTAGTCATGCTTGCGGCATGACGAATCCACATTTTTGCGCACACCATTCATGATTTTCATGCAAACAAAGGCACTCCAACACAACCTAAAACAGATGCATACACTTATTTGTACATTTATACACATTTACTTATAAACAATTTTCCATAGCCTTATTGTTATTTTGTTTATCTCCTGTTGTTTCACACACTCAAACATACACGTACCATACAGGTAGTTCGTCTGCATCTGCTTACAAGCACACTAACAACATTGTTGCGGGCCGGCAGGTAAAGTGTCTGTATACATACAAACATACATACATATGTACATATATTCATTGCATTGCAGGCTTCTTCGCTTTACTTCATATTTTAAATTTATTTTCTGATTGTTTTCGTTACTTTGTGCTCCCCGCTGCGCTTTAAAAACTTCTGCCATATTGTTATATGTATGCATACGCTTGGCCTATAATCTGCTTAAAATCTCTGCTACACCAAACCTTTCCGTCTCGTTGTGCCGTTTTTCCATTGAAACAATTTTATTTTTCTTATTGTTCTTTTCATTTACTTTTGTTTTGAAATTTGTTGTGCACTTTAGTAGGCTTTACTGTGTTGTTGTGTTAGTGACATTGACAGTTGTCTGTCAAAATGCATTGGTATGTCATTAAGTCTTCAAAATGTTCTCTGCCATTTATGTGTGTGCGTGGGCGGTCTGTACTGGCCTTTAAAGATTTTATTTTTGTAGATATTCTTTGTTTCATTTTTGTGTTCTGTTTATTGGTTAAAATCGTCGGCTTGACCTTGTGGCAAATTGTTAGTAGATTGCAGTTACCAAAATGTCAAAGTGACAGCTGCCAAAAACCAGTGCACAAAAAGTCGTAAAGGTTAATTTCGAAACAAAGGTGGCGTGGAAGCGCACAACTAATATTCAATGAGTTTAAATAAATATAGTTATTTTAGAAGTGGTTTGGAAACTAAAGACAGTTTAACAATATCGACATATTTATCGATACATTTATCAAAATTTGTATGCATATATTGGAGATTTTATCGACATATTTGTCTGTTTATCTGTATATTGTATATGTACATAAATACATATGTATTTATCGAGGTACTAATCGATATACATACGTCGGTTTATCGAAACTGTCATCGAAATATACATACATAAGTAGGTTTGTCAACAAAGCTGTCGGTATGGTCTTTTTCCCACCCAAAGCGGGTATAGTTTATAGAATTTTCGCACTATTATTTTTTTAATCGACAATTCTTTACTTTTCCCTAAATTTACATTTTTATTTAAAACTTAAAATTTTAATTCACATTTTTTCTTTAAAATTGTAAAAGTAATACACGTTCACCCAATTTTCAAACATCTTGCCGTAAATTGTGTTGTGAAACATGTTGCTTATGCGCCAGCAACATTAAACGCTAGGCCGCATTTGGCTCGCAAATTTTTATGTTGCATAGCAAGTAAAGTTGTCCAACAGGTTTATGAGTAGTCAAAACAACAAATACGACGCAAACAAGAAACTATACTACAGCAACAACAACAACAAGGACAACAACCGCAGCGCAAGAACCAAATACTTGTATGTAGGCACCGCAGCAGCCTTACTAGGCAAACACACACAAAAATCAATATCGCACGCATTTTTCGAAGACAACAAGAGCAGGCAACAAGAAAAGAGTAAAAGCAGAAAAAAAAACAAAACAAAATAATAAACAAAAGTTCAGCTTGAAAGCATTCGCGATCACAAGATGCCTCGCCCGGCTCGATATGACTGGTGCTTTTGTTGCTGTCGCCATATTTGATTGTTCATGCCGAAACGTCAGTGGCAAATGTCAGGCGTCGAATGGTTGAAAAGAGTGTACATATGTATGTACGTATACATATTTATGTATGTGAACACATTTATCCATATTTATGTTTATGCGTTTGTGCAAGCAGTTTGCGCATACGTCAAACGCCAACGAACGAATGCTTTTGGTGGCATAGAGTTAATTACTGTGTTTGGTGGTCGTCACAACAACAGCGCTGCAGCGGCTCGAAACAAGGAAAAAAATTTATATATCTAACTACATACAAACTCATGGAGTAAAGTAAGAAAATAATTGAAAAACGAAAATGGAGCGCCGACGAGTTGCTGCTGCCACCACGACCGCCCAATGTGCACATTCTGACACACAAGGCGACAAAAAAGCCAAAGCAAAAGTGAGTTACTACCTACATACATATGTACATGTGTGCGTTAAAATAAAAATGGCTGACATGAGTGCATTTAAAATGTTGTTTGCAACTAATTACAACATGAGTGTGCAACATGAACAGCGGAGGGTTGGCGTAGCGTAGCGTGGCGTGGCATACCGCTGACAAGCTTTTACAAAAGTCATAAGCAAAATTAATGATTTCACTGCCAACAAATCAAGCTGCGCCTGCATGGCTGTCATGCAACATGTTGCTGCTACTTTTAAAACGCTATTTAATTAGCGTTGCCGGCGCGTTCCGTTTTTGCCGGCGCGTCCCGTATTTTGCACTAAATTTGAAATGTGCCGCCGGGACAAGACTTTTCCCGAATTTTCGACAATTTCATTATTCATTTCAACCTGTAAACTTCTACACAACATGATCGGGTTTTATCGCGGCTATTGTGAGTGATTTTTTTAGATTTTATTTTATGTGGAGGGTGTTGCGAATTTTCTTCCTGACTTTTATAAGGAAGAAAAAGCCCGACACCCTAAAAAAAATTCTAAAAAATCAATGGTAATTTTTAGCGACTTGAAACTTGAATTTTATTGTAGTAAAATCGAATGGGCTATAAAACCACATACCTGAAATCTTTATAGAAAGTCTAACTAAAAAAACGAAATTTTGATTAACATTTTTTAATTAGTTAAATTAGCTTTTGTGAACTTTGTGTAAGCTTGGAAACTTATATTTATATGGTATCTTATATACATTAGTAGATCGACCCATATTTTAAATGAAAATCGTTAGCAATAAATAAATAAAGATAAGTTGACAACAGCGTCATTTTGAATTTTGCTGCTAGTTTTTTCACCGCAACTGTATCTCTTACTTTTTTATTGTTTGGGCTTTTACAGCGAATCCTTTATTTCTCATTTGTTCCGTTAAATTTTTGTAAATCCCGTATTTTTCTGAACAAATCATTCGTTTGTCCCGTATGGCTGGAAAAAATCTGGCAACACTCTATGCAATGGCCTA